TGGTGGAGGAAGTAGAATGGAAGTAGATCAGTTTCCTCAAGTTGGACGGGGCTCCGATCCTCTTTTATTTTTTGACGCCGTTGTTTATTGTTTAATTTCCATGGACCAGAAACGTCAGTGATATCAATATGCTCAATTTCACAATGGGTATTTCCATCGTGACATTGGCATCCAGGACATAAATTCCGTCAGATGGTGTTACCATTTGTTGCAAAAAACGCACAACGCGTAGACAATGCGTTTTTGTTGCTGTGGAATTGGTCTTTGTTCCTTATTGATGGCTGGCTCATTTTGTTTTTCGAAGTTTTGGTTTTCTCGCTCATCCATATCATACCCGGCTTGTAAAAAAGCTTCGATTCTAAGATTGACTTGCTTCCTCTTTTCCTTCTTAGCTTTACCAGTAATACCGGTTTTCCCATAGAAGGAAATGACATTAATAGTTGGAATTAAGGGTCGGATTCTTTCATGGCTTGGCATTGACATGTTTCATGCAGAAAAGATAGCGGCCTTCTTTCGGAGGATCGTTTGGATGAAACGGGAGAAAGTTTTAAATGACTCTGTGAGCCAGAACTCCAGACAACAAATTAATAATATTTCTAAAAGTATGTACAAGTAAATTTTAAAATTTTTGTTGTTTTTATAAAAATTAAAGTTTAGAAATGCTGTATATTATTGGAAATAAACAACTCCTGAATAAAAGCAATTCCTAATTGGAAAACAGAAATTAGTAAATAGTATTATGTTTACTAATAGTAGACCCAATATAACAAATATAATAATCTTTTACCATAGCCTAAAAGTTTATAAAACTAAAAATGTACTGTATTTTATTATAATAACCGGGTTAAACCGGTTAACCAATATTTAAGCCCGTCGAAAAAAATCTATAACCGGTTAACCAAAATTAAAACCCGCGTTAACCGGTGAAACTTTATGAAAAATATGTCAAATTTGAAGAGGCGTAGATTTAATAGCAAAGCAGTTATATAAAACTTTTTCAAAAAATATTTTTATCTAATCAAAAAATAGTGTAGATATAGCTTATCCCTTAAACCGTCAGGTTTAGCATACAAGTTTGTACAGTACCGGACAGCAAAAAAACATTCAATATTTATATATAAAATATAAAAATCATTATTAACTCAAGCCCAAATAATTTTAAAAACAATCTGTCTTATAGATTTGTTGCTTTTAGCCTGAGCTACAATTCTGTAAAATAGATTTTTATTTATCTTATAAGATTAAAAGGTTATTACAGCTTAAAGTTTATATGTAATCAAAAATTTGGTATTTACTATATAAAAAAAAGCTGTCTATATGTATATATTATTTAGCAAAAATTGTCAAATAATGGTAATTTACCAAATAATAGTGTTATCTGATAATTTATGATCATCCACCTGGGATCTATAAATCCTTTTTAGATCTAAAAAAAAAGATTGCAGATCAGTATAAAAATTATTTTCTTTCTATAGCAAAAAAAAAACTTTTTTCATTTAAAAATAT